AACTGCCTCTTGGAGGGCTCCAACAGAGAGAAAAAACAGGAAAGCAGCAGGTTAGGGCTGATCTCAGTGTGAGAGTTTGCTGGGGAGAAGCTGGCACAGCTAGTGGCCAGAGCTTCCTGTAAGCTGGCTTGAGCTGGAGCAGCCCTGTGAGCCTTCAGCTTGGCATTTCCTTAAGGCTTTCTACTTCCTATTTTGTCTCTGCTCAAGTGTTTTGTCCCTTTCAGCAGGCAAGAGGGCTGAGGCCAGCTGCCTGCCTTCTCACATGGGGAAATTTCTTCCCAGTGCAGATGGAAGATACTCCAGGCGTGGCATTCCCCAGGGCTCAGCATAGCTGGCCCTGAAGGAGATGCAGCTGTCACTCAGACCAAAACAGGGGTGGCATAGTGTGGATGGGAGGGTGAAGGCCATGTTTGGGGCAGTTCCCCTGCTATGGGATGCTCTACGCTGAGCTTCTAAGACTGTCAAGAGTTTGCAGGCACAGGCTGCCGAGGAGGAGAATTTATGTTCTTGAGAGCTTTCCTTGTGCCACCCTTGTGCTGTACATTCATTGTCCAACTCAGCAGAGCAATAAGGTCTGGACGGGTAGGAGCCATCTCACTGCCTCTGGGTTGATGCAGACCTGCCTGCAGTGGCTGGGGCAGGGTAAGGAGCGAGGCTGGCAGAGCAGACATGGGGTGGCCTGGCCCCCTGGGGGGTCTGTCAGAGACAGGATAGTCAGAGTCCCAAGCACAAGGCTTCCCATCCCCCTCACAAAATGTCACAGGAAATAGTGATGCTCTGGGTTACATTGATCTCCATGTGTTTATCTAATCAGAATTGAATCTCGCCTCAAACAGCTATTTCCTGTGGCAAAACTACTGTTGTTTAATCTCACATTGGGTGAAGTGGCATTTTCCTGCCTTGTCTGGTGTTTCACTGACCAGCTGTCTGCTCTTCTAGGCAACAGGGAAAACTGGGTTTTCCCATCTTCTCTCTGACACTTACTGATCTGTAAGTCTGCCTAGTGCCTCCTCTCCCTGACAGCCGTGGTTCCCATTCCTCAGGCTCCCGGCTCCTCTTGGTGTCCCCCCTGACTGTCCCCCCAGCTGTGCCCATCCCAGTGGCCTCAGGCCCATCCCTGTGCTACTTGCTGCACATTGCCCAATCTGTCTCGACTGCACAGAGGCTTCACCAGTGGCTGCTGTGCTGTCAGCAGGGATTGTGGCCTGAGCTCTTCCCAGGGCAGCCCCAGCTTCCTCTGGTGGATGGTACAGAAACTCTCCCAGGTTTACAAAACCTGCAAGTTTTATGCTGTAAAGTGCATTTCTTTGCATTTATCACCACCAGGACAATTTTTCACCGTGGTGCCCATCCATACAGTACCCTCAGGGCTCTCTGAAGCTGCTTACTGTATCCCAAGCTCGTGAATCACCTGAGGAAGTTCGCACTTGCTCCTACCTCCTGTCTCTGCTCCTCCGTCCCGGTCATTAATAACACCCTTGCCCAGCAGAAAGCCCTTACATGTGTCCCAGCTTCACCCCCGCTGATCTTTTGCCATTATAAACCCCAACTATTTATCCTCACTGCTTTGGGACTCCTTGCCAGGTTCCCATGCAGGAAAAGGATGGTGTCTTTTGCCCCCTTGGCTAATTAGCTTTTTTAGCAGCCGTCTGGACAATCTTTAGTCAGAGGAGCTCTAAATAAATAGCCACTTCGTTGTTCTGCATCCGCCGCTGGGCTGATACGTTCAAGGAAATCTGGGAGATTAGTGAGACATGGTTTTCCTCTGAGACACACACTGGGCTGTATTATGAGATGTTCTGTTTTTAATTATCATTCCAATCAATTTGGTGCACACAGATGTGCAATTTACTGATCTGTAATTCCCCAAATTACCCCTGGAGGCTTCATTTTTATTGTCAGTGTAGCATTTGCTACCAACTATCTGCTATTTGTTTTTTTGGGGGGAAGGCTTTCTTCTTCTTGTTTTTTGTTTTTACACCTTCAGCCATCTGCTCTCCAGAAATCTATTTTGCCTCATTTTTTTTCTTTCTTGTTACCTGCTGTAATTTCTTGTTGCCAGGCAAGGCTTTGATTTCCCCATTTGGGAGTACCCCTGTGTGCTGCAACCGAGCTGCAGGTACCTGGAGTCCATTCTGGGCTGTGACAGTACCTACTCTGCAGTCAAACCCTTTCAGCTATAACCCCATATGGGTTTCCCCGCCGTAGCAGGCAGACACCAGTCCCACCACAGCTCCAGGTATACAGCTTAATTAATTAGTGCTTGTAGAGCGCAGTCAGGAGGTTCTGGGGAAGATGAACACATCATAAGTGCCCTCTTTATGGAGATAGGAAATGACTCCTCTCGGAGAGCTGCTGACATGAGTGGAGGTGGCTCACAGGTCTGGCACAGACAGACCCTCTGTGAGGAGGGGGCAGTTGGCTGCATCTCCTTGAGAGACACAATTTCCTCTTGCGAAGTGGGAGAACAAAGCAAATAAATGCAGCAGGATAGAGGAGTGTGCGTCTGACCAAGAGCTCTCCCACGTGGGGGCCATCCCTCTCCTGGTCATTCCTGGACTTGCCCAGCAGCCCTGGAAAATGCTCTCCATATTCCAGCCTGGCATTCATGTCCCCAGGGCATCCCAGACTCAAGGGGCTCTCCTCATACCCTCCCACAGCGTGGCTCACTGGCCAAGCTCATCACTGGTATCCTCCAGGACATGCTGAATCACACTCTCCTGGGATGCCCTGCGTCCCATGTGGTGCTGCAGCCCTCCTCTGCTTATACTCTGTGGGTGCTTAATTATTAATAACAAATTCTTCCAGCTCTGCTCTGACATAGGGAGATACAGACAAGCTTGTAGCCCCTTGAGTCCCCCATACGGGACCAAGGCAAGAGACATGGGGGAGCTTTAAATCCAGTCCTTGTGATGATGGGGGACCTGGGCTGCAGGGTGTAAGGGTTGCCAGAGAGGGAGATTTAACAAGCACAGCAACCTGGCCCTGGCAATGCATGCTAGGCTGGAGATAATCTCCATTTAATTCTTTTTCAGATAATCCAGTCTCGGCTGTGGTCCCATGCTCCCTGACCCCTTAATCCTATTGCCACAGAACCTGTTTAATGGGGAAGCTGGTAAGGGTTCCTGTGAAATGGCTTGGGGCATTCCCCTGGCTCCCAGCTCTTTGTCTACCCCTCTTGCCTCCTCCATTCCTGCTCAGCATGGATCTGGCACTGAAATATCTCCTTTCTCCCTCTTATCAGCTCTCCTTCCTCCCCTCTGGCTGAGAGAGACCCTCAGATGCCCAGAAGCGAAGAGTAGGCAGGGAAGGGGATCCCGCTCCCAGGCACATTTACCAGGCAGCTGCATGGTGATCCATCTGGCAGCACACGTTCATAGCCAGCTCTGCAAGCCTTGCTCTGCTTTTGAGAGGGGTGGCTGTGATGGGCATAGTGTGGAGGGGGACAGCAGAGCAACCCTTCCTTGTGTCCCGGCTTCCAGGTAGAAGGCTGGTGCATGGGGAAGCAGTGGTGAGGAGGTCTCTGAGAGCAAATTTGGTTTATAAATTCCAAAGCTAGAGCTGATGGAAAAGGAGGTGGGTTTACAGAACAAAATCTCCCCCACTGCCCTCCTCCTTGCTAGTCATCCTGGGGCCAGAGCAGAGTACAGCCACTTGGACTGGGTCCTCCTCGCTTTGGTCAACTGGAAATGCATCCACCCCTCCAGCCCTTCCTTGCCATTCCTACTGGTGCTTACACATGTTTGTGTTTGTATTTCCAGAGCAGTGGGTTGGAAACGTTGGTCTTGAAGTGCAGATACACATACATGCTATTGAGGGTTTACTTGAGAAGCTTCCCTGGGTACCTGGTGAGCACTTTGCCATTAAAAGCCTTCCTTGGGGACAGGTTATCTCTTTGTGAGGGATCCGCATTGGCTCAGCTGGGGGGGTCACTCTTGGTGCCTTGCCAGGGCTTGTTGGGTTGCTGCCAGCCCACAGAGGATTCCAATCCTCTTTTGTGACTGTAAAGCCACTCATTCATGAAAAAAGGTGTTCCTGGGAGTCAAGCAGTGCAGTCCTCTGGGGACATGAGCCGTGCCTGATTGACAGACTGAGCTGCCTTGATGGCTTCCCACCATTCTTCTCTGAAAGGCTGGTGGGGGTTAGATTCTGCCATGCCCTGCATGTTCCCAGCAGGAGCCTTTACCTGCCACTGAATTTGGGAGTGAGAGCACAGATGTTCTGCTCCTTGGAGCCAGACAACAGGGAAACAACCTGTTCCTGTTCCTCTTCACGCTTCCCTGGACTGACACTAAGGGCAGATTCAATAATTTTTGGGCCTCAATAGGAAGTAGAAAGGTGAAGTGTCCTGAATTGCCTGGGAAGGGTCATGTCTGCTGTGTCTTGCTCATCACCATGTATCCCTCCTCAGTGGGACTAAGGCCACAAAAGAGATGGGATCACAGCGTTCAGTGCAGGCTCTAAGTGGTTCCCAGGATGCTCTTTTCTATCAGCTTTTCCTGCTGATAGAAAAATGTGGATAGTACCTCTCCTCAGCTCTCCATCAGTGCCCGCAGAGCTGGAACCCTGTGCAGGTGGCGGATGGCTCAGCTAAAACCATCTCCTGAACCTGAAGTTTTGCAGGGAGACACTTCATCTCTTGCTCCTTTGCTCTCACATGCATATTCAGCCAGAAAAAGTGCTGTTCCCCTAAGGTGAAGTGGTAGGATATTAATTTTCTGAAGTTCTCGATAAGCTATTGAAGATTAATTTTCGGGAAAGCCAGGGGATATGATGGATTGGAGCCCAAGCTTGCTTAAATATGCAATATTAAAAATTGATCGTTGTCTCTCCTTGTCATACACCCTGCCCCAGTGTCTGGGGCAATCCCACAGTCTGACAAAATGCCAGGAAAATACTCAATGAGCCCCACGCCCAGCTGAGTGCGGATTTTAATAACTTGTGTTGCCATTATTATTTTTTAAATCACTTTTATGAGTTTTTGTTTTGTTTAATGCCAGGCTCTGTTGTTCAGATTGGCAGCTGGGGGCTTGGGAATCCTCCTTTACCTGCCAGGCTGTGGACATCAGCACCCAGAACAACCTGCTTCCCTGCCCTCCCCACCAACCCTAGCTGTGGGGATGATGCTCCAGGAGACTGAGGAGCCATGGTGGGGTGAAGGACCTTGCCCAGGAAGACCAGCAGGTGCAGAGGGCTGGTTCAGCCCGAAGACATCCAGGTGCAGTGGATGCAGCATCACTCACGCTTTCAAGGCTTCCTGACTGCAGGAGGCAGCGCTTGGTGCACCGAGGGGAAGGTACATCTCAGTTTTATCTTGCTCAGTTGGGGCTCTTGGGCAGTTAATTGCTTTGCATCAACATGGCATTGTAAGCATTGACTATGATATTTCTCATTTGAAGAGAAACAACAAGATCTTGCCAAAATGTTGGAGTTCATCAGAGCAGTGACGAACTCTTATGGGTATTTTTGAGTTTGGCTGCAAAGTTATGGTCCCTCTGCAGTATAGAGCTCAGGATGACTCCATCAGGGCACTCAACGGAAAGGAGAAAGCTTGGTGGGATTCCTCTTCATCCCTGCCTGGACAAGGGAAGTCCAGGCAAAGGCCACCTGATCCACCCTGATCAGAAAGCTGCTAACATTATTTTCTTCCCTGCAGTTAATGACTTGAAGGAGGAGGGATTTGCTGGCATTTGCACTTCAGACAGAGCTGTGAGGGAACAAAGTGGGTCCCACGGAGGGTTCAGGGAGAACAAGAGGCATGGTGTAATCTGCCATCAGGCTTTCCTAGCCAAGTTTACTTTTCTACTCAATAATCAGCATAGCAATACTGAGATACTGCATTGACTGATGAGACATGAGGATCTTCAGGGCCAGTTTGACCACTGGCCACTCCTTTGCTGTCCATTGGGGGGACTGAGTTGCAGATGGACTGCAGAGGCATACGTATGGGACCCTAAGTGGTGACCCCTTTAGCCATGCATCCCCTGAGATGGGGTTAGTATAAGGAGCTACAGTTGAATAGTTGCATACAGAAGAGTAGCATGCTTGAGCAAAGAGCTATTATTTGCCAAGGGTCCAATCTTCCCTGATTTGCACTTGGGCTGTAGTAGCACTCGTCCTAACAATTCATCCATGCTCTTCATTGCGGCAGGCTGACAGTGAGGAACGATGTGTTTCTGCAGCTCCCAGGGTGTGCAGGCTGTGCTTGGAGTGCTGTGACCCTCATTAGCAGCTGCTGCAAAGGGATAAGTTCAAAGCAGATTCTGGCCAGTTTGAAATAGATGCCAACTGGCCTCCACAGCTGCAGTCAGTGGTGGCCACCTTCTTCTCTCCCATGTCCATAGGTCCAGGAGCAGGAAGGCCCAGTACAAAGCCATGACAAGTGGAAGAGCACAACAGCAGCAAGCCCTAGCTCAAATGAACAATAAAAAATGATCACAGGCAGTGACACGCTGGTCTGCGTGCCAGGGGACAGAGCTGTGTTCCCTGCTGCTGAGAACAGTGAAGTGCAGGTGGCTCACACGGTCACCACTGTTGGTTTTGCTGCACACTACTTAGAGCTTGGAGTGCCAAGGTGGTGGCCACAGCTGCAGGGTGAAACACACAGTGATGCTCGCTGCTGGCTTTGCCTGGTCCAAGATGTGAGACCCAGGGGAGCAGGAGGGATCTGAGCACTTCTCAAAACTCTTTGAGAGAGACTTAGAGCTACCCTGAATGGACAGGGATCACTTCCAGACCTTGCCAAGGTCTTAGAGAAATTTGGAGACCTCTTATCACACCTGTACCCTACACATGTAGGGCAGCCATTTTTGTTAGTCCCATACAAAATTGAATTCGGAACCAAAATGTGCCAATTGGCTTGGTGCAAGTACTGAAGAGTGGTGCCAGGCACAGATGTTACATGGGCAGTAGTGACTTTTGATGGTATTAGTTGAGGACACACCAGGTCACTCTGAATAATACTTGTTCAGGACACAGTATTTTTATGATTACATTTAACCACATAATAGAGTGCAATGCTCTGTGGTGGGACCCGCTCAACATCCAGCAAGTTAGGCAGGTATGTTAACGATGTGCTCTGGTGTGGATAAATCCTCCTGCAAGCACCCAGCAGAAATATCACCTCTGTCCTCACATCAGCAGCCGTGGGACAGAGTGCAGTTCTGTGTTCCTCCACTGGCAAGGCCTGGGAAAGGAAGAAAGACAGCAAGAAGGGGTAAGGAGTGGGGTGTTTCTTTTCTTCACCAAATGCAGTTTTATTTCTACATTAAAAATTTATAGAGCCCTTCATTTAATATTTATAAAGTGAGTGTCTTGGTGATAAATTACTAAGGAACACAACAGGGCAGCCTTGCTGCTTGTGTGGGAATACTGGATGGGACTGGGAGCTCCCCTTTCCTCCAATCTGCCTGGGCACTTCACCCAGCATCCCTAGGTGATATTGAGGTTTGTGGGACTGATAGGGATACAGGACTGGGAAGAAAGCTTCCCACTTTTCCTAGCCAAACTTCAGGGTGCTCAGATTAAGCTACTTTCTCCCTTCCACCCTCAGTGTTTGGAGAGGGGCTGACCTCTCATTGTCTGCTGCGAGCCATGAAGTGCTGTGAGAGATCCTGGGCTGGGATCTCAAGGGGTTTCCAGACAGCCTGAAGCACCTGCTGGGGAAAAGGAAAGTAGGTTGAGGCCAGAAAGCAAGCATGAAGAGCTCTGTCTGGAGAGAGACTGGGCTTCCATGGGCTAAGATGAGCTCCTCAAGGTGACCTCAGCATCCTTTGAAAACTGGGCTAGATCAATGCAATCAATCCTCCTAATCATTTCCTCTCCATCAAAACATGGAGCAAAACCCCTGAGCTCACAGGCAACCCATCAGCCTCATGCCCCAGTGTCCCAAGGATCATCCAGGAGCCCAGGGACCCCTATGCTGGTGGATGTGGACCTCTGGGATACCACTAGTTCCTTCCTGGTATGCCAGAGCTTGCACCCCTGGGGGAAGGGGCACAGAGCAGTGTGGGGTGGCTGACCTTGGCACTGGGGAAAGCACACCCCTTCCATGCTTCTTCCCCATCCCCGACATGGAGTTCCTGGCACAGGGCAATGGTGCTGGCAGGCGAAGAGGGTGGTCATGGCGTGTTACCCAACCTCCGTCCTGCACTGTCCACATGGCATGGCAGCCACGCATCCTTAAGTTTTCCTGCTGCTGTAGGTGTCACACCTCCAGGCAGCACAGCAATGAAAGCTTCAGTGTAGACAAAATATCAGAAATTACCTGCATTTCTGCTATAGAGTCTCCACCTGCTCTGGACCAGGTTAAATGACACTTCCCTGGGGCATTTCAGGAACATTTGCTCTCTTGCTCAAGGCCCCTAACTAGAACCAAGGAGGTAGCAAGGGAGTAGACGAGGTGGCCGAAAGCAATTTCAGCCCTTCGGAAGAAATAACTGGCATGTTACAGTGACAGGAAATTGTGCAATTAGTACAACAGGGCAATGTCAACAAGCTCTTAACGCCAGTTGTTATGGCAACACCAGGGAAAGCGATGTCAGTGCTGGAAAAATCCAGAGAGACTGAGAAATAACAACAACAGCAGCGGCTGCTGGGATGACTCTGGCTTTGCATGCAGGTCTCCAGTGCAGGCAGCATCCTGGCAGCAGCCTAGGGCTGTGACCACCGCCTTGAGGCCCAGCCCTGTGCCAGGGAGCAGATGGGCAGAGGTAGAGGACCTGATCCAGCATACAAGAAATGGGAACCATCAGCAGGGACCAGGGAAGGCTTTTCCACATGCAGTCCCATGAACCTCCTCCCTGTGGCACTGCCCTTCAGGAAGGATAGCCAGAGCAGCCCATGTCATCCTTGGACACAGGGGTAGAGCATCAAATGGCTAAGAGCTGGCATCACCGGCTTGGCTCATCATGCTGATAAAGTAGCAGTGAGTGAATTGCATGAGAGAATATTGAGTGTTTTTCTGCTAGTGAAATTATGGTGCTTTGAGTCTGGCAGCACATTCACTAATCCTGGGCAAACATATGGCTAGGCATGTTGACAAGGCGTGTCTCATGCGGCTCTGTGGGCAACTGGCTCCTTTACATCCATGCCAAGTACAGCCAGGCCTTTTTGCCCCCTCTGTAACCTGCCACCTCACCAGCCATGCCCACAGTGGGGTTGGCGCAGGGGACGAGAAGGAGGCAGAGGGTTGCCCTGAAAGCAGCTCAGCACTTGATTCCTGCTTGAGCCACACTACAGCTGTGCCCTGTGCCAGCCCACAAACCCAAAACCCTGACCCACTGGCTTGACTTTCCAGCTTGAGCCCTGACTTGCCTGGTGATGACTGGGCTGAGGCTGTCCCCTCAGTGTCACCAGCCTGGCTCTGTACCCCTGGCTTGCCAATGGTGGCATGTTCAGCCATCTGGAGGGGCTGTGGTTTGTGGGGTGCACATGGAGGGGTCTGTGGTAACATGGGAGAGAAACATTAATGCTGGAGCTCAGGGCGTCTGTAAGCCTCTGCGGTGCTCACCAGTAGAAAGGTGAGAAATTTCTCAACGTAAAAAATGTGCCTCTTGTACCCTGTCCCAAATATGCCAAAATGAAAAGGATTTGGTTTCAGCTTGCTGAGGTGTACAGCAGCTCCCTCCTTCTCTCTCTGCCTGTGCTCCTGCTAGCCAGGGCAAGTCCCTGTAGGAGGGTTCCTCCAGGAGTCATTCAGACTTCTCTATGGTTGTGCCCTCTGGTTTACTGCAGTGTAAGCCAACGTATTCTCCTTTCTCAGAATCAGTATAGCTCTCTCAGTATGAAGTTTGGTGCCTACAAAGCTAAGCAAAGGATTCAGGTTACTCCAAGCTCCCTTTTTGTAAGATCTTCTCTGACAAAAAAAAAACGCCTTTGCAGTAGGAGCAAGGAGGGATCGTGCGGTGCTTTCAGAGAGAGACAGGGCTCCCAGAGTCACAGGGAGAATCATTGCTTTCAACTCAGCTCTATTGCTGAGGTCTTCTTTAAGGCTTCAGAAGCCAGAGGGGCAACAGCAGAAGGATGCTGGTCCAGGAGAAGCTGCTGCAGCATGCCCACCCATGAAAGCTAAAAGCATATGGCTTCAAAGGGAGAAACATCCTGAGCCCTTTGGAAAGAGCTGAGCAATAGGAGGATCAAAGCACTAGAGAGAACTGTGTTTCCTTTAAAACTGAAATCTTACAGCAGCTTTTGAAGGAATCTTGAGAAAACGTAATGGGATCTCTTAGAAAACAGCAATGCAAGCCTCATAGCTGCTACAACGAAGAAGAGCAAAGAACTCTGTGTGTTATTTGT